AGGGAAAACGAGGGAATCCATTAAATGAGGAGGCACTTGCAGTCAGATTAGCTCTCCTAATGGCCAAGGAAGCTGACTGCAGGAGAGTGGAAATACAATCTAACTGTAAAGCACTCATTCATAAGATCCATGCTCAGGAGACTCAGGTCAGTGAAACTGCAAAATTCGGATTCTTGAATTGAGAGAGCTGTTTGAACAATGTATATATCCAAAGGAAAGAAATGCTTGTAATCATAGGTAGCTCAATTTGCACTTTAGTTAGTTAATGATGTCAAATGGGATTCTAGTATTCCACTGTCACTTATTTATTTCTTTAATCAAGAGCATCGACCAATTGCTATTTCTTAATGTCCAAAGTGATAGAGAAAGATTTTTTACAACTATTGCCTCTCGGATCTTCTAGTGTCACTGCTCGGGCCATTGCCGGCCTGAGATGGCTTCTTCAAAGCATGCTTACATGGTGGCCTGAAGGCGACTTAAAGTCACTACAGGAGGAGAAGGCGACTTTAAAATAGTCATTTGAGATGGCGATTTTGATTTGTTTTTCTATTTTCTTTTTCTACTTTTTCACCCAAAGTGAGTCATCTAGCTAAAATAACAAAGCGAGTCACCTTTATAAATGGCGAAATCTCTACTGTTGGAAAACTTCAAAATTTACTATTATTTTCATAATTTAAAAAAAAAGGATTATTTAGGTAATTCACTCCATCAATCCTATTCTTGTATTCGAATCATTCTACAACAATTCAATGAGGTAGCCCTCCTCAAGCTTGATTTTGCCATGCCTCCCTTGTTAGAAGCCACCGAGTTTATCAATCGTTTCTTCTCGTCCATATTTGCGGGATTCCTGTTGCTTAATCTTCGAAAATTTATCGTTTGGACAGTGAAAGATTTTGGCTGCTGGTGGAAGATAAACTAATCTCTGCTTGAGCTGGCAAATGCCAATTAAGATTGGTCTTTCAATAAATTAAGCCATATTTACGATATGTTTTTTGTTTTCTTGCTGGTTTGCGAGGAATCTTGGGTTTAGAAGGCCAGTGCACAAACAGATAAACATGTTTTTCCTTTCTTGTTGGTTTGTATATAAATTTATGAACTTTGTTGGAAACTAATATTTGTTCACGTGAAAGTGGACGGCTAAAATGCTAAATCTTTTGTGTACAATTGAAAAAATACATAGTTTTGGGTGTATAATTATCGTAAAAATTTAATTACTACCTCAAAGAAAAAAAAATACGTAGTTTTTGATGTATAGATATTGTCACCTTATAGTATATTTATGTATAAACTCTTTTTAAAAAAATTGGGATTGTAGTTCAATAGTTGGAATAAAATAATTTCTTGATATAGATATGTGAAAATGCTATTTATAATTCTTTATTTAAATTATTTATCTATTAATCAAGTTGAATAATATGCCAAATGTGGAACATGTCTACTGTTGGTTCTGAATTAATGAGCAATTCACTCATAGCCTAGGGGTGCATATTGCTAGTAACTTAAATTCACCAAGTATAAATTGGTATGGTACATGGAAATTGTGATCAACACCAAGTCCGCATCTTAGATTGCCTGCAATGTTACCCTCTCTTCTTCTTCTTCTTCTTCTTTTTCTTTCTGCATTCAATTCCCTAACATCTGCAGCCTCAGACCTCGTCTTTGACAACTTTGCCCATTGCCTTGCAGGAAAAGGGATCCCAGATGACCAAATCTCAAGCATTCTTTATAGCCCCATTAACGCTTCCTACACTTCAGTTTTACAAGCTTATATAAGAAACAGGAGATTCAACACTTCCACAACCCCAAAACCGCTTCTCATAGTCACAGCTTTAGAAGAATACCACGTCCAAGCAGCTGTTCTATGTACAAAAAGAACTGGGCTGGAACTGAAAATCAGAAGTGGCGGTCATGATTTTGAAGGAATCTCATACGTTTCCAGTGTTCCATTCGTCATTCTTGACATGTTCCACCTTAGTAGTATTCATGTTGATATTGAAAATGAAATTTCTTGGGTACAAGTTGGCGCGACACTTGGGGAACTCTACTACAGGATTTGGGAAAAGAGTAAAGCACATGCATTCCCTGCCGGTGTATGCCGATCAGTAGGCGTAGGCGGCCACATAAGTGGGGGAGGTTATGGCCCTATGCTACGCAAATACGGCCTAACTGTAGACAATGTTGTTGATGCACGAATCGTCGATGTTAAAGGCAGGATTTTGGATAGGGAAGCAATGGGGGAAGATCTTTTCTGGGCTATTAGGGGTGGTGGTGGTGCGAGTTTTTGCGTTGTTTTGGCGTACAAAATCAAGTTAGTCAGGGTACCAGAAATTGTAACATTTTTCAGGATTGTTAGGACCATGGAAGAAAATGTAACAGATCTTGTTTATAGCTGGCAACAGGTAGCCAACACGATTGACAATGATCTCTTCATCAGAGTTCTGGTCCAACCAGTTACTGAACAAATCAATGGGCAGAGTCAGACTACAATTGGAGCAACATTTATAGCATTATTCCTTGGAGATGCCGATGGACTCTTATCTGTTATGAATGGAAGGTTTTCTGAATTGGGATTGAAGAAACAGGACTGTTTGGAAATGAGTTGGGGTGAATCACTCCTCCGGTGGGAAGGTTACGCGAGTGGTACACCCATGGAAGCTATCCTTGACAAGACTTATGCCAACTTCGCGAAGAGGAAATCAGATTATGTGCAGAATCCAATTCCAAGGCATGGGCTGGCCTCCATATTCAAGAAAGTGATTGAGCTAAATAAAACAGTACTGGAATTCAATCCTTATGGCGGAAGAATGAGTGAAATTCCAGAAAGCCAAACGCCTTTCCCTCATCGTTCTGAGATCATTTTCAAGATCGAGTATTTAGTGATTTGGCAGGAAGAAGGTCCTAGATTTGCCAAGAAATACATAGAGCAGACACGGGTGCTATACAGTTTGATGACTCCTTTCGTTTCAAAAAATCCTAGGCAGGCTTTTCTGAATTACAGGGACCTTGATATTGGAACCACAGACAACGGGAAGAACAGTTACAACGAAGGAAGAGTTTATGGGCTCAAATATTTCAAAAATAATTTTTACAGATTGGTGAAAGTCAAGACCATGATAGATCCTGAAAATTTCTTCAGGAACGAGCAGAGTATACCAACTCGGCCCCTCCGGCCATTTTAGTTGGGGTAAAACTTTCAAGCTTATTAACACTTTTACTCTTTTACGATCCAGAATTGGGTGCAAAAGTTATTATTTAAAGTTTTTGACTCGGCCTGGCTGCATTTTTAATTGAAGTACAGTTCTCAACATTCAGGCCCAGTATATTTCTGGTCAGGAATAGCCTGTGTTCTTTGTCTTTGCCTTGCCAGTTTCTTGCACTGATATCATATCCAGATCTACGTTCCTGATTGCTATTTGCAACATCTGTTCTACAAATAGCATTATTGTTTTGAATAGCTCGGGTCAAAATATATTTTGTGTTACAAATAGTATAGTTTCAAATGGCGTGTTCTAGTCATTATGTCTGTTATACAAGGTTAAATGTATAATAGTACTGAATTGTTTGTTGCACTCGAGTTTTGGTTGTTGTATAGACTTGTTTAAGGAGAACCAGGAGGAGAACACCGCGCGATGCGCGGTGAAAATTTTCATGTTTGCCCAGTTATTCATGGTACATAATTAAATTTCAAGTTTGTCCAATTATTTAGGGTTTTCCAGTTATACAAAGTACATAATTGTTGCAAATTATATTAAGCTGAATCATAAATATTGTATTCATCCATTCAAAATTAGATAAAGCTGTATCGTATTTATCCATTCAAAAGTTTCTAAAACAATTAGCAAGAGTAATTTTTGATGATACTGTAACTGTGAAGTGCATCCATGTTAGCAAACTTAAGAAAATGGACTCTCATCTAGAAAGAAAATGAAAAGTATAATTGTAAGTTACAGACTTACTGGATTTCTTTCTCCACCAAATTTTACCATTAGAAAGCAGTATCAGTACAATATTCTTAATGTTCCAAAAGGTATAAATTATAAAAATACAAAAAGCCTATGAAATGCCCTTTTTCTCTCAACTACTAACACCCATGAAGACTTCTTTTTTTAATGTAAATAGTAAGAGATGCAAGACTCAAACACAATCTGGAGTGGAGAGCTGCATATGCTTCCAGTCTGTGATAAGATAAACAAGTCATTATCTCAAGTTTAGAAGCTTATTGATATAGCAAATGAGATACGATAAAGCAAATGAAATAGATATATAATGGAAATATTTTGGGTGCATGATAACAACAAAGAAAGGTATCAATACCTTTCAAAATGGCATTTGAGGCCAAAATATTCATCCACCGACCCAACAAATTTTATCACTTTAATCTTGTTTTCCTACAACAGTTGAAACTTATTCAAAACTGTTTTTGAATCTTGGAATTAAATCACCAAATTGCATTAGCTGTGACAGCTCCACCTCCCCCTAAGGCGAACCAAAGAGTTCGGCGGACCGCTTGCCCAACTCTCGCCAGGACTACGGAGTCGAAACTCACAAATCCTATAGTACGCGCGATGGGACCCAAAGAAAAATGAACAATCGGAGACAACTAAGGTGAGAACATGCTTACCAAACCATAAGATCTTAATATCTCAAATGAATACACTTAATAGACAAGATTAAACACTTATACATATATTTACATCGGAGTCTTTAACAAATTAACTAAACTACGATACAAACCAAAGTATTCATACAATTAAAAATATAATTCGGGTTTCGGTTATAAAAGAGCTTAACAAAATAATATTTACACTAGCTCGACCCTTTCTTCCAAAATCAAGGATTCAAAGTTTGCCCCCTGAAAGGAAAACAAAGTTAACGGAAAGGGGGTGAGTTTACGCTCAATGAGGTACCAAAATAATAGCAGTCAAGAATCATGGAGTTTCATGTTCACTTAGTCACATATGCATATCACATAGAGAAATGAACAAACACCTTAGATAGGAATGATACAGGTAGCTCTCAGGAGCCAAAATTCCCATTGCCATACTTGAACCAAATTCGTTGACTCTCCGTCAACGTATAAAGAACAACCATGTCCGTAGACCCCACTTTACACCAAATTCCGTCTACCGAACATACCCCTTACCGGACCCGAACACCACATACAGAACAGAGATGGTAATACTCGAGTATACCGGAATCAAGAGTCTCAATACTCAAAGATTCCCAGAAACAGACTACCGTGGCTCGTTATCTAATCAATCAGGCCCTTGCCGGCTCGACTCGAGAGACTAACCACAGGTTTTGAGCTCAGAAATCACTGAAGGGTCGTTGGATACAAGCCTCCAAACAATGTCAGAATAGACTTAGATACAGATAACAGAGTCAAGTATACACAGTAAATAGGCATACAGATAACCAAGAGAACGAGTGTGATAAAGTACACTCTCGTCTCAAACAGAATAAACAGATAGTACAGTCATTCAAATTACAGATTTCATGTACAGAAACCAAGTTAAACAACAAATGAGGGGAGTGTTACACTCACCAGTTCCAGTACAGATACTTCAAAAGTTTTTACCCAAAGTGGCTTTAATCGCCAAGAAACCCTAAAATAATCAAGATAAAACAATTATAGTTCGCACATCTACAAACCCAGTAAATGGAATGCATAAATGAGACTCGACTACATGTCGTACGCCTTTCCAGGTTAAGTACTAGTACAAAAGAATAAAATATGACTTTTGAGCAAAAAGATAACAATTGGTCTTAGAGTTACAAATAACTCCCAAAATCCCTTCATTTTTACCAAGATCAATTCAACTTGAAGGAATCGCGTAGCCCTAAAATTTTGGGCAGCATGCCCTCTGTATTTACCTATTTTCCAATCATTTATGGCTTCATTATTTTCCTTAACTCAGTCCAATTCAACACATAAGAAATCTCAATACAATAGCCCTTCAACTAGGATCAAGTTCATCCAAATACAAAGCATAGTCTAGGAATGCAATTGGAAATCAAATTTTAAGGACAAAAGCTAAATAGCAGGTTTGACGTCTCTTAGCGTATCGGTCACAACCGAAGCTACACTTATCGGATTGGGGTGTAATTTATACCGTTTCGAAGCTAAGATAAAGGCCTACAACTTTGATGAAGACCACTTAGTCCAGTTAGTAGTGTATCTAGGTCAAATTTTCAAATTACAGAACCAGCATCTCACAATCAGACTAGTTAACCGTACTATGATTAAATGACAATAACTCAGGCTACCGAAGTCCGATTGAGGTGTATCTTATGGAGTTTCGAAGCCAAGATATATACCTACATTTCTTATGAAGGCCTCAAAAGTTAAATCATGCATTTTCAGAGTCAAAATTGAAATCTCCACGAAGACAGAAAACTATCCGCGAAACAGGGGTTATGGGCAGTCAAGGGTATTTCAGTCATTTCACATGATACAGTGCTCCGATTGAGCTGAAATTTTACAAACAGTTATAAAACATTATTTCCTACAACTTTTATGTTTTGTGCTAAGCCTAATTCGTTCTCTAACATGGTCAAACAGAACCGGGTAGAACAGGGTAAATTGGAAACTTTAAAACTGAAATTTATGCACTCTAGTTGAAACTTTTTGAAGGCAAGCAAAACTAGCATTTTCAAGCTCAAAATTACTCATGACAACTACCAAATCATGGCTAAACATCAATCATCATATGAGGACAGAAAATTTACTATAAAAACTGAAATTCACCATGCCCCTACTTCAAACCATAAACTTGTCCATAAAGCTACATATTTAACCTTTCCAATACACTAATTAACAATTATTACAAACAAAGAGGGATTTTGCAAGCAAAGTATCTTGGATCCTCAAGAAAGATGGTGGTTTAGAGATCTTCTTCCCAAATTAGCTCCACAAACACCTTGAAAACTACCTTAACTAGTACTTTTATGGAGTAGTTTGCGATTTAATCAGTTGGAACTCAAGATTTGGACAAGAAATTGAAGTGGAAGATGAAGAACTCTCTTGGTTTCTCTCTCACTAATTTCAGCCAAAGGAGACAAGAAAATGAATGAATTTTGGTCAAAAATCTGATTTAGTAAAGTTACTAACCTTGGTCAAAAGTCCAACTTCTAATAGCATAGTGACACTTGGCTCCTTTTTAGGGTTTTAATCTTATCCTTTTGTCTACCAATGGTGATTTATCTAGCTAACCTCTAATTGTCTCCTAGCACCTTGTACAGTAATATTCCGTTATACAAAACTTTAATTAATCAGCAAAAATTTATCGCACTTAACGCACTAACGGGCTCCACATCCATAATACGCTTTAAACTGAATATGAACTAATTTAAACTAGGAAAATGATTTAAAAACTCTACTCACTAATAAAATGTCTGGAAAAATCAATATAATAAGGTATAATGAAGAAAATGCATACGAGAAAATAAAATAAAATAATATAAAAAATAAGGAAAATTTACGGGTCCTCACACCAGTTGGTTGGGACTCATGATTTTTCAGCAATAATTCATTATTTTGTTCAGTCAAGAGAAGACATGCGATAAATTCAGAATATTTTTTAAATCTCTTCTCTCAATATTGCTACTGCAAGAGCATATTAGAGACATGAAAAGTAGAAAATGTCTTCCCTAACATATCTTCATCAGTGACTTTTTCGTCACATAATGATAATTGAGAAGTAATTCTGAACATGACTGAATTATATTCATTGACAGATTTAAAATCTTGCAACCGTAAGTGAAGCCAATCATATCTGGCTTTTGGAAGAACGACCAACTTCAGGTGGTCGAATCTTTCTTTCAAATCTTGCTAAAGGACAAGAGGATCTTTGACAGTAAGATACTCTATTTTTAATCCTTTATCTAAATGATGACGAACGAAAATCATAACTTTGGCACGGTTTTGGTTTGAGAATTCATTTTTTTTCAACAATAGTATTACCAAAACCCATTGCCTCAAGATGAATTTCAACATCCAATACCCATGATAAATAATTTTTTCCAGAAATGTCAAGAGGTGCGAACTCTTGTTTTGTAAGATTAGTCATAAGAAATTAAAATAAGTTTTTGACTTAGAAATTTACCTCGGAAGTCATCTTTGGCTGTCATATTTTCTTTTTCAACACATTGGTACCTTGCTTTCTCAGGAAAGTGGTAATTAAGCTTCTAACAAGTTGAGATCATTCTGTGACAGAAACTCTTGTGCAGTTTCTTTTAAAATTAGCAAATCTGATGAATGGTGGCTCATTAGTAAAAAATATTTCTTAGGACAGACTGCATTTGTCAAACCAAAATAGTTCTGCTGGGTTAGGATTTTCCAAATATTAAGTTGTGGTTTTTCTCTTGCTTTAGGGTTTAGCAATGGTGATGCACAAGAATCATGAAGGACCAGCTGTTTTTGAGATGCTGGACAGGGCTCTGGAATTGGCTCGTTCCGAGAAAAAAGTCAATGAGGAGAGGAACATAAGAATACTAACTGCACAGATGCATGTAGTAAAGGTATCCAGTTGGACTTTCTTATACAAGAATTTGAAGCTGTTCAGAAATTAGGATCTAAATCTAATCAAGGAATGATGATGCATTCAAGTTCTGGGTCATTATGCTGTGTATACATTCTTGAAAATGCATATCCACTTTAAGATCAGAACAATCATGTTTTAGGAAATAGCTAAAATCCACAACCAGTAAGAGAAAGTTGGGGGGGGGGGAGAATCTACGTGATGCCCTCGTGATCAAAAGTCTAACATCTAAATCTACGTGATGCCCTCGTGATCAAAAGTCTAACATCTAATATGTTTTACTTCTGCAGGGGGAATTAGAGGAGGCCTTGGAAAAGTTTCAAGCTCTTATTAATGAGAACCCAAGGGATTTTCGCCCTTATCTTTGCCAAGTAAGTGTTTTTGTTTTTGGATTTTTTTCTATTTTGCTTTTTTGGCATTTCATCCTTTCACCTCTGCTTGATGAAACTTTCCCCTCCAATTATGTTTCAGCAAGGATATGAAAAGTTTTTTTTTCCTTTTTTTTCCTATTTGGCTTTTTTGGCTTTCATCCTTTCACTCCTGCTTGGTGAAACCTTGCCCACCAGTTATGTTTCAGAGGATATGAAAAGGACATGGTGCTAGTCTGCTATATGTATGACTGTAAATTCACTTGTTTGACATTGTCAGTTATAAAATTTTAGGAGCAAGCTGAAAGCTGCACAAAGTCACTCTTAAATAACAAAAAGCTACTGAGCCACAAGATTTATTTTTCAAATATTAGGTTCATGAGGGTGTTTTAAACTTTGGCATCTAAATGGACAAGGAAAAACATCAAGAAATTTTGGAGATGACATTGCTAGCTATTTATTAGTCTACCCTGAAACTACATAAAAGACAAGTAAAGGAACATCACATATTTGATTTTTTTAGGGAGGGTCAGGAGCAACAGGGAAGATTAATGATATGGACTTTGGACCTTATTTTGATGGGAAAAGTAAGGTGAATGGAACAAGGAATGCCATTCTCTTTTGTCCTTCCTAGAAATGAGTTAAAAGGAGTAGGAGAATGGCTTCCCTAGGTGATGTACTAATACATTGCACTTCTTTTCTCCTCTTCCTGCTCTTTACCAAGCATAGCCTAAGTGGCACCCCTGGCTAGGTCCTGGAAGGAGAGACAATTGCAATTTAGCTATTGGCTTGGCTTACTAAAGTAGTTTTAAGAAAGTGAAACAAATGTTGCACTTGCCAGATGTAGGAAATTATTGATCCCTTGGATACGTCTGTGTGAATGTGTAGGATAAGCTCATGCTGAACACAACAACAAAGATCAACTTACCTCTCAGCATAAGCGCATGAGGCTCCTATCTTTACTAGATTTGTGCTTTTGATCTCTAATCTTCTCAATATAACTAAAGGCATATTGCTAAGAAGAAGGCAGTGGGATGGCTAGAATCCAGCACTAGGAGATTGACCATCTTAAAGGGCAAAGGCCAATTGAAGTGCCTAGGCTGATTGAAGTAGGTTTGTCTTGTGTATAAACTCATGTCTAATCTTTTGGGGAAGCTAAATGTCACAAATATGTATTGAAAAAGGCGGTGTCGAACAGGACACATTTCACTTTATTCGCTTCACATTTTTTTGGTACAGTGCTTTTGTGAATTTGGGGTTTTTTGTTTTGCGCGCGCGTGTGTTCATGAGCACCATTTATGTCACGAGTTTGTTGACCATTTCCCTTGGCTGTTCTGGCAGGGTATAGTTTACAGCCTGCTTGACAAAGAGAAGGAAGCTCTAGAACAGTTTGAGATATATCAAAGTCTTGTACCTGAAGAATTTCCACAGAAAAAGTTCCTTGATGATGTTATTTTGTCAGCCAGAACTGAATCAAAGCAACAGCTTGAGAAGGAGTTGCAAAGCTGAATTATCATGGCAGACATGGCATTTGCAACTCTATCTTTGATACTAACCACTTACCAACTACTTGAATCTCAGCCAGCCGTAGCAAACCAGTTCTACAACATAATTGTACATGAACATAATTTGCAAGGCGTGTACCTTGATGTTTCTGCCATGATTCTTAATGGATGAATTCAGCTTTTAGGTGCAATATTTTGTGAATCTTACAATTTTTTGTGATAAAAAAGGTTCATTGGGGTAACATGTCAAAATGAACAATTAATTAGTCACATTTGTCAGATTCACATGAAACTTTGTCTCCTTTTTCCTTCAAGACCATATGTATAACAAGAAAACCATAAGAACTTGTTGGTTTCTATGGTTTAGATATCTCTTGTAATGACAATAAATACATACCATATGTAATTTTGTCTACATTTATTTGATGAAAAAAAATGACATGTCTATATTATGACTCCTTATCTCCAAGTAATCATTATGTAAATGTGAATGTAAATTTTGTTCTAAATTTTATACAATTACCAAGCCAAAACTAATCCAAGTGACTAGTATAATTAATTTCATGAAAAAAAATCATTGGCAAGTAACTACACCACAAGTATGCCTTATACACCATTGGTCTTAGCAATGTATTTTTTTTTGGCCAAGTTATGTTTTCTTGGGTCCACTAATCCAGCACTTTCCAGCGTTTCCTACATTTGCCTAAACATTAGAAGATCACGATTCCAAAGTCCAAAACTCAAGTGCTCAAACCCAAAATTGGGATAATTTCACAAACCTCCCCTAAGGTTTCTGACACATGCATTGAGATCCCTCCAGGTTTTAAAAATTTCACCTAGCTCCCTTGCTTTTCAAATTTGGTAACAATTCAGTCCAATTAGGATTAAAATATTACTATCATGATAGAGATGACATTTTATATTTCATGAATACCCTCTTTCTCCCTATATTAGTACAAGATTGCTTGTTAATAAAAAGGTAGAGATGATTATGGGTATTTTATTCTGAATCATTTAATTTATGTTAAATACATAAATATTTTCAAATAAAATTTAAAAACCGTTACACAAATATTTTTACGAAAGGAAAATTAGCATGTTTTGTATTTAATATAAATAAAGTATTTGAAAGTAAAAAAAAAAATTGTTCATAACATATCAGTTCTTTACGAATTTCTTCCATTATATGAATAAAGTACTAGTTATTTATGAGTATTTTACTTTGAATCATTTAATTTATATTAAATACATAAATGTTTATAAGTGAAATTCAAAAAGTGTTACACTAATATTATTACGAAAGGCAAACTAGTAGGTTTTGTATTTAACATAAATTAAATACGTGAAAGTAAAAAAAGAAATTACTCACTTTTTACCAGCTCTTTACGGGTTTCTTCTATAATATGAATAAAGTATTAGTTATTTATAGGCATTTTATTTTGAATCATATAATTTATATTAAATACATACATGTTTGTAAGTAAAATTTAAAAAGCGATATACTAATATTTTTACGAAAGGAAAACTAGTAGATTTGTATTTAACATAAATTAAATACGTAAAAGTAAAAAAAAAAAAGAAATTGCTCATAAAATATCAGCTCTTTATGGATTTTCTCTATTACATGAACAAAATAATAGCTATTTATGAGCAAAAAGAAATATCCCATAAAGTACCAACTCTTTATGGCCTTTGTCTATTATATGAACCAAGTACCAGATTTTTATGGACATTTTATTCTGAATCATTTAATTTATGTTAAATACATAAATATTTGCAAATAAAATTCAAAAGCCGTTACACAAATATTTTTACGAAAGGAAAACTAGTATGTTTTGTATTTAATATAAATGAAGTATTTGAAAGTAGAAAAAAAAATTGTCCATAACATACCAGTTCTTTACGAGTTTCTTCCATTATATGAATAAAGTACTAGTTATTTATGAGCATTTTACTTTGAATCATTTAATTTATATTAAATACATAAATGTTTATAAGTGAAATTCAAAAAGCATTACACTAATATTATTACGAAAGGAAAACTAGTAGGTTTTTATTAACAAGTAATCTTGTACTAATATAGGGAGGAAAAGGGTATTTATGGAATATAAATGTCATCTCTATCATGATAGTAATATTTTAATCCTAATTGGACTGAATTGTTACCAAATTTGAAAAGCAAGGGAGCTAGGTGAAATTTTTAAAACCTAGAGGGGTCTCAGTGCAAGTGTCAGAAACCTCAGGGGAGGTTTGTGAAATTATCCCCCAAAATTTTCTAAGCTAAACTAACCGCTGGACCAACTACCAAAACCACCATGATTCTCAATCTTCATCTGCCGCCATTGGCAACGGTCATTCTCAACCGCCGGCCAACTTTCACCGGATTCCAGACTCCGTTCATCCAGCTCCGGCTATCCCCCCTTCAGTTCAGCGGGGAAAGAGCAGGCATCATCTCATTCTCCCCTGCTCCTCTAAACACTAGCACTACTGATAATTTCAAAGCTACTTCTACTGAAGAAGAAGAAGATGAAGAAGCTGTGAAAACAACGGAGCCAAGTGCTACTCCGGTGAGAATAGTACTGGTCGGAGAAAACAGCGTCAGCCCTCTCAAGTCCTCGCCTTGGTTGGACGTCATGCTTCATACTGTGAGTTATATTTCTTTCTTTAAAGAGTTATCCATTGCTTAGAAATTGAAAAGAATCAAAGAATCGAGAACTGAATTTAAGGGCTATTTTAGATTTTGTTTTGTTTTCTGGAATTATTGGTGAAATGCATGTTCCTTGTGTTTGTTAAAAATGTATTCTTTTAGTGATGAATTATATCAACAGAAAAAGGGAACGTGAATTTGTCTTGAATTTTTTGACCATCAGAAATGATATTCTCTTCGAATTATGAACTTTGGATATCTGAATGTTAAGCTTATTAGGCTCGTCTAGAGGTTGTAAGAGCTGGCTATTGAAAAAGGCATAAAAATGTTGAAATTTTGGTTATGCAAATTGTTCGGCCATCTTTCACCTTCGTATTTGATTGTGTTATGCGACTTCCATTTTTTGAGTTTAAGAGTATCAACAATCCTTGAAAGCACAGTTTTCTGACTTTTGACTTGTGTGGTTTAAGGTGTTTATAACATAGCTTGAACTACCTAGTTGAGTTGCTATTTCCATAATCTGTTTTGGAAATGCACTTCTTAGCCTTGATCTCGAGATTCTCTGTTGAAAACTCATGGAATTTTCGGCGTTTATAGTGTTGTTTCTGGAATGTATAATTGTCAAATCCCATTGAGTTTTTGCAAATGCTTCCAAATCCAATCTAGTCGAAAAATGTTTTTCATGCTTACAACACATTCTTTACCCTTTTTTAGTTTTTCTTTCTTCTCACATCAATCTCAGTTAGGAGCCGAAGAAGTGCAATGCAAGAATATAGGCTAATGAATTGGGACAATGAGATTCTTCAAGTAATAATGTTTCATTCAGCCTATGTTTTTGACTTTTATGTATCCTTTCATGCCTTTGCCATGAGATATTATTTTGTTCTAGAGACAAGCTATTGACTTAATTAGCCTTCTCTATATATGAGCAGATATAGTAGTGGTCAACTTATCATGCTGCATTTTCTCCTTTTACCATGATTTTTTGGTACTATGACAATCGAAGCTTTATTCCCGTGTCGACTGTGTGTATTGGACATAAATGAGAGAGCCTTGACTCTATCATATCCTACAAAAACATGTGGTTCCTTGTCTCACAGTTGTAGACCTTTTCACTTATTTCTCTTCGACAGGCCAAAAGATTAAAATGGGTTGATGAAGCGTATGATATGCTGGTATTTAGTGACGGACTCCTCAAATCAACTGATAAAACCATGGAAAATCTTCATCAGGGATTAAGGAATGCAGATATTTTACTGATTGTTGCTGTCACTAATCAAGAATCTGTTGAATGGGTTCAAGCAAATAGTGTAAACGTCCCAAGCATCTTATGCTTTGAGTCCTCTCCAATGTTGAGGTACAAACTTGGAGGATCAATTGTAGAAACAAAATCCAATGGCTATATATTCAGTCAATTGACAGCAATTTCCCAATCAAAAAGAAAAACTGAATCAACCAAAATAGTCCAAACTGTATCTGAGGTTTGGGACAGGCATAATTCAGATGATATCAGGTTCTGTTTGTTAGTTGTAATTAATGCTTACATAAGACCAGTCCCAATATTGAAGAATCTAAGAGCAAAAGGTTTCTCCACCTTAAACTGCATGGTAAAAAATTGTGGCCCTCAGATACTAAACTGTTTATTGGATCCCAACTGCAGAAAAGCTCTCCAATGCTTGAATAAGTGCAGTCCTGTGGACCAGGTATGCAACTATAGATGTATTGCTTCATATGAGAGTCCATGTCTAGAAGAATTTTCTCTCTGCGTGTTGCAGAAGAATAACTGTTTGGAATTGGATGCCAAGATCCCTGAAAAACCTTCTGTGCCTCCAATGATAAAGTTCTGAGGGGACAATCTATCTCATGAAACAGCTGAGGATCTTTTTGTGGCTTGGTTGGGGAAATTGGACTGGAGTTGGCGAGTCATAGCAGGACAGAACCCAGCCTATGATCAGTTTCCATGCCAGTACCAACTGTTTTATAGAGGAAAGGCTAGAGGATCATTCTGGTTTGAGCCAATATTTCAAGTAAGGACACTTGAGGGGGATTTGGTCTGGAGAAGGCGAAAATACCGAGTTAGAAGAGGAAAAGTTCCAGCAACATTTCACTTCAGTGTCTTGGACAATGGAGTGGTTTTGAAATGAGTTCTGGACAATCGTGGACGTCTCTGATGATTTTAGCTGGGGTTTATTCCATTACCATGGAGCTGCTCGAGTTGCAGGACAATCATATACTGGTGCCGTCCTTGTTAGCCCGGATGGCATGTATCCAGATGAGACACAGAGGCAAAGGCTGTTTTCAGCATTAGATAGATGTGATATCAAAGAATGGGAGCTCTTCAATGTGGATAATTTGTCATGCCCAAATCCTCCTTTAGGCCTTCCAGAGGGTTCAAGACTGCACAGTAAGATTGAACCTGAAGACATGAAAGCATAATCAGTTGAGAGATTTGGTATTGGGGATTGCTAAACTAAACTTGCCATTAGACATGGTCATTGAGCTAATTGCTAAGTGAGTTGATTCGGCGAAAAACATGCACCAAGATG